CCTGAAGCACATATTTGTGGAGAGCACAAAGCTTGTGTAAGCTTGAATGAAAATTGCACCTCAGGGCTGCATAAAGACACTGCTGTCATGGCTGAGACATGGGGACCTGCAGAGGACCTTGTCCCACCTGGACAACTTTTCTTTGGTACAGCACCGAGCTGCAGGTTTCAGCATGTACCAGCTGGCAGTGCCAAAATCAGCTGAAGAAGGTAGCTGGAGGTCCAGTGTGGGATCTCTTTCTCTTCTTTCATGGTAACTGCCACCATCTCTTTGTGCAATAATCACATTTTAATCAGAGTCCTGTTCACAGGAGAGAGCGAGTGAGAGACAGTAGGTTTAGGCTAGATAAATGGAATTTGAGATTTATTTCTGTGAGGGTGGTGAGGCAGTGGAACAGGCTGCCCAGAGAAGTTGTGGGTGCCCCATCCCTGGAAGCATTCAAGGCCAGGGAGGTTTGGTTGGGTCTGGTGGAAGGTGTCCCTGCCCAGAGGTGTTGGAACAGGATGGTCTCAAAGGTCCCTCTGAGTCAAACCAGTCTGTGGTTGTGTGCCTGTTCCCCTGCTGCCCCTGGGTCCCTCCTTACTCTGGGCTCCTGCACCTGGTCAGGATGGAATTGGCAGCTGGCTGGAGAGAAGGAATGGGAGAACCAGAGCCCCCCATTTCCCTTGGGACACACCTCCCCTGGCACTAATGGATTTTTGTGGCCAAGCTGTCGTGGCTCAGAGCTCTGTGGGTGGCACAAAGGGGCCAAACCTGACCTGTGCCATGGGGCAGGAGCTGCTGCCACCCTGCAGTGCCTGGCAGCTGACAAGGCACTGGGACTCTCAGGGGTCAGCTGGCTCCTTAGGGAATTCACTACACCCTCACCCTTCCCATCAGGATACTGCCTGCTCAAAAGGGACAGCAAAATCACAGCATCTCTTTCCAATTCAAAAGGCTTATTAAAAGATAAATTATTCTAATTTATGTTCTCAGCGCTTTCAATGATTTTTGTATCTTCAGCATTAAAGCAGAGGCTGAATACTGTAGTTCTTCCTGTAAGAAGCTGGTTTCTGATTAAAGTCTTTGTCAGTGAGTGGGCAAAAAATTAGTGCATTAACAATCTAACAATGAAATCAAAGTGATTTAGAGTAGCATTATCTAAAATTATTTTTTGTTAGTATGTGTAATGTTCTTTTAACTGATGACAATGATTTATTTCTACTTAGATGGATGATGAAACTAATCAGTGCATTGCTTGAGAGATGCTTTGTTAAATTACTCCCATATTCAATTGGGAGTCTTTAATCTATTGCTCCGTGTGCTTATTTGTCATTGAATTTGCAGGGGGATGTGCAGGTTCTTTTGTTTACATGAATATTGACTAGAATGCCTTCACTGAGTAGAGTTTCCTTGTTTAAAAAGGGGAAACTGAGACAATGGGGCCTTCCTGTCTCTGGTTTTGTTGGGAGATAACTTTTTTAAAAATGCTTCATGTAATTTGTTTAATAAATTACTTGACCTATGTTTACAAGGGAATTCATCCTGCTTATTTCCAATACACAAGGTGTTACTATTTAAAAGTATTTGTAAATTCTATGGTAATTCTTGCTTAATAATGGGAATAAGTTTGTGGTTTTCTGGTACATTTTCTCTGTCAGACGAAATAAACTGAGGCTGTTTTTTTCCAGTCCACCCACAAGACTCTGGCCATTCATAAAAATTTTATGAATGAGGAAAATAACATGTGTTGACAATGAAAATAACAGTTTCAGGAAGATAATATTAGTGGAAATGCTTTTGTTACAGCTCTGCTGCCTAAAGCCAGCATTTGTTAGGCTAGCTTAGAATTCTAAGGAGAAACAGCTGAGCTTTTTGTGACCATTTAGCATAAATGACAGCTGGGTCCCTTTAATGTGAGACTTTACACACTGTCAACTATGAACTGATAATTTGCCTAGCAAAGTGTTGTGATGTGGAAGGTAAAGAAGGAAAGCATTAGAAGGCTTTGTGGAGAGGAAGAAACCCCCATATTTCATGGTTGCTTATGGGCAACACTTGAGTCTAGGACTTGTATCAGTTTTGTGTGACCAGTTTTGTGTTTGTTTGGACAAAGAGCTGCTGGAATGCCCCTGCAGTCTCAGCAATAACACAGATCTGTGATCAATAGTCATGTGCAGGGTTCTCCCTGGTCACCCTGAGTAATTGCTCTTCTTTGAGCCCAGAGCACCTGAAATGCCACCAAGCAACACAGACAGTTGCTCCTTTGGACTTTGCACCCCTGCACGCTGGTAATGGCACTGGAATGATGCCTTTTGCTCAATGTAGGAAGTTTAAAGGTGCTATCTTGTGGAAGAAAGGCCATTGAACATTTTAAGCTAATGTCTTGAGTCTTCAGTACTTTGCTGGGGGAGGCAAAAGTGTCTGTGGGCATGGTGGCTTTCCACCAAGAGCTGTGTCCAGCCTGGTTTTCCTTCTGTGTGCACAGAGCAAGTGGATCTTCACAGCTTAGGCGGAGGGACAGCCACCATGATGGTGGAATCTGCCCCTTCTGCTTTCCTTTGGCTTCTTCAGATCACCCTGTCAGTCCTGACCTTGTTCTTTGGCTTCTTAGACTCTCTCAAGTGTTGGCTAGTCCAAGATGTGATCCAAACTTGGGGATTATTTTGTTGTTAATCAGTAGCTATACCTTGGCAGGTGTGATTAAGTAGTTGCATTGTGAAACGAAACTTTTGGAAATTTATAGGCTAATCCTTTGTTTCAAGGGGAAGGGAGTGCTATTCTGAAACTAATAGGCTGTTTGGACAAAAGCCACTAGGAGTGAAGTTAACAGGACTAAGCAGTAAATGGGGGGAAGAAGAATTAGAAAGATAAAAAGCAGCAAATAAGGATTTGATTAATGAAAAATGAGTGTAAGCTGGAACCAATGTGTGTTGATGCCATTGTCTTTAGAATGTAGAAATTGTGTCTATTTTCACAGTGTGGGTTCCCACCAAGCTCCCTACTTTGTACAAAGTAAAATAAAAAATAGAACTACCTCATCTTGGTGTGGGAATCTTTTGTACACACCGGGTAGCAAGGCTGTGTTCAGGATAATAGAAGGACAAGAGCTTCAAAATTTCATCAGCTTGTGGATACCAAAGTATGTATGCAAGTGAGAACTGGTACTATAATCTCTGAGCAGAACAGGAAATAAGCTTCCCTTGAAGGATAGCAAATCATCTCAAGAATATTAAAGGCTATTTGCAACTCAGAATTTGGAATCAATTAACCACTGTTTGTTTGGGGGGATCTAAAGGCACAGAATTTGTGACAGTGACCACTACTCTTAAAAGCAAGAGTTAATGTCTGCTGCCTTTGTGGTCTGGCACAGCCTTTGTATAATCAGCTGTTTTGAAGGGAGCTTTGATGTATCTTTAGGCTAGGTACTTCTATTTATAGAACACATCTAGTCTACCTTTCCTCTGCTTCCCACCCCCATGCCTTTACAGAGAATGTGAGTTCTCATTTGATCAGGGTCACCTCAGGGGTGAGATGTCCTTTGAATCTCAAGATATGCTCCTGATCAGTAACTGTAAGTTAACTCCTCTTGAGAAGGCAGATGCAGGACAAGAATGCAGCTACATATTCAGTATTGCTCTGCTGTGCTATCAGTACATTCCTAACCATGGCTGACCCTCAGATGCTAAAACTTTTCTGCCTAAGCATATCTTAATCCAGAGTTAGTTTTTGCATTAAAAAGCAGGTTGTGACTGTATGAAAGCTGAACAGTCTAGTTTGCAGAGAAAGGTAGACAAAACAAGTAAATGCAGGAAGAAGAGAAATAAGACAGAAGGAATAAGTTCTAAAAAATGCAGAGTCTGTGCTGTAATCCTGGCTGTGCTTTCTGGACCATGTCCTGTCTTGCAGTGCCTGGTGAATGTATGATGCAATGGCAGAGGTTGCTCTGTACATGCAAGTGAGGCCACCCAGAGAGAATTGTTCTGTGCTACTGCATCCTCTCTCCTTGGCATCTGTGCTCTCTGAGGCCTGTGCAGTAACTCCTGTCTCTGCTGCAAAGTCAGGCTTTGACAGGTTTGATAAATAAAAATCCCTGCACATTTTTTTTTGCTTGAGGAGAATATTAACTCTTGTATTGCAGACAAATCACATTCTGTGACTGAATCACACTGCTTTAAATTCACATGTCTCTTCACCACCTTTTTTTTCATGTGCTGTGTGACGCTTACATGGGTGCCCCAAGCTCACAAGAGGCTTGGGGCTGACAGGAACTTGTCCCATCCATAGTTTGGGATCCTCTGGAATGAGGACTATGCAGATCTAGTATATTATGTGTATGGTGCATGGGATCCCATGACCATTTGACTTTGCAATTTCATGCCCTGTTGAGCAGCTACAAGAGCTCCTCAGATAAAATGGTCCCATTCTAATTTTAATTTATGCTGATACTAATTGTAACGTGTCTGGGCAGTTGGCTGCTTAAGGAGCTGCTGTCAAGCTCCAGATATCTTTGCCTAAGGCTCTGGACTGACCTGTCCCAGCAACAGAGCCATGGAGAGAGCAGGGTGACTCTAGATTCCCAGTACACTTCTGTCATCACAGCCTTCTGTGTTCCTTCCTTCCTTCCTCAGAGGTGTCTTTTGTATATCAGCTCAGGAAGATCACTCTCATGGATTGTTTTTCCTGGTTGCCTTGTTTCCGCTGTGTCCTTGCAGCTTGCCTGGAAGGCTTGTGAGCTGCCTGACTTTGACCAGCTCTGCATCAGGAACAGGCAGTTTTGGTTTTGCAGAAAATAATCTTCTGCGTAGGGTTTGTTGCATCCTGGTTTGGGGAGTGGGGATCAGACTGGTTCTACATGTACTTACCAGCTCATTTCTGTACTTTTTTTTTTCCTTCACTCCTAATTCTCCTTTTTACTTTGTCACTTTGAGCTCTAACACCTCCCTGGGTTCTCCAGGAATGGCTGCTACAAAGATGTTTGTGTTCTCCTCTGTAACACTGGTCTTGTTTTGTGTTGCTAGGCTACTCCCTTCCAGCTGCCACTGAAGAAATGTTCCGTGGTGGGAAACGGTGGGATCCTGAAGAAGAGTGGCTGTGGCAAACAAATAGATCAAGCAGATTTTGTCATGCGGTAAGACAGAAATCTCAATGACACATTATCCCCCTTCCACCTGCTCAGCCTCAGCCTTTTCAGAGCTGTTCAGCTGGCATTAATCAATGAGCATTTGCCTTGTTGCCCTGCCTTTGCAGGATGCTTTGCACAAGCAATTTGGGTCAGAGTGTGAGGAGAGGCAAAAAAGGAGTTTGGGCTTGGTTCTGTGAGGGGATATGGGGTGAGGGGACAGTGTGCTGGCCAGTGAAGTTGGGAGGGCTTGTGCAGTGTCTCAGGGAGGTGCTGAGGAGCTGCTTTTCTCATCATTTATGCAGTGGTAGCCAGGGTGCTTCATCCTGCTCTGTGCTCTGTCCTCTGAAAGTAAATGTAATCTGTGCAACCCTCAGAATGAGTAGGGGCTGACTTATGGGGCAAGGCTTCAGCTGCTGCAAGCCAAAATCTTCCTTTGTCTTCCCTCAAGACTGAACTGTGGCTGTCTGAGGAAATGCCAAACTTCCCTTGATGTGAGGTTTTTGTGATTCTTCACATTTCCTTTCCCTCCAACTTTCCTTAATTTACAAGAACCTGTCAGGAGGGATGTTGAACCAGCTACTGCTTTTGTGATTAACTTTGGCACTTTCTAGCTCTGTGATCCTTAAGGAAGAAAGACAGAAATTAGTTCCTCCCTGATAAACATGAACAAGAGAAACACTGTGGGAGAGAAACTGGAGGACTGCTCCAAAAGAGATGAGAAATGGAGTTTCTTTGGGTTTCTGAGGGATGCATAATGAACACCCACTATAACAAATCTCCTTATTAGATCCTGATAACTCATTATAAAACTATACAAATTTGTTCTAAACCATTCCTGTAATTTCTGGTTTGCCTCTCAAAGACCAAAAATGCCTTCATTATTAAATGCCTGTTAACACAAAGAAACAGAACAAATTAAAGGCATAGGGAAACATTTCCTTGGAGCACTTAGAGAAGAGAAGATGTAAAGCACAGGGGAGAGCAGCACTCTGATTGTAATTACTGCAAAACTCCTTAGGTGTTTCATAGACTAAATACCAGAAACTGCAGCAGGTATGCAGTTTCTTGTATTCTATATTTTCTAGAAATTAAAATGCTGTAGGAGCGACCAGTTACAAAAACAGAAGTTTGAAAAAAAAATTAAAAAATCAAGAAACCAACAAAACAGCAGATATTTTAGCTTGATCATAAAACCCTATTTCTCTGCAGGGAGACTAAAGCAACCATTATATGTACAGAGCTTGTTTTGTTTTAGAAATAAGTGATAGGGAGAACCTGCTCAAATCCCAGTCACTGTCTGCAGGCTCTATTATATTAGTGATATGAAGTCATTTTTATGGAAAATTTAGTTGATCTTTTCTAAATCGCATAACACTTCTCATTTTTAAAAAAGAAATATGTATAATATCTTCAAAGTATTTCTGCAGTGTGAAATGTCCTGCCAGGTTTTGCCCTTGTTTGTTAATTCCCTTCACATAGTTTTCATTTCACTTATGTATATTTCCATAAGCTTTGTCATGTGAGAGAAGATGGCTGCAGTCATATGTTGTAATTGCTAAGGTTATTTAATGAGTTTAGACTCATCTGGTTGCTGAGCATCTTCTACAAACAGTTGTTCCAAGACAGATATGGAAAGAGCAGCAGTTTTCAGCCCCTAAGGCATAGCAAGCTGCATATGCAATGAGAAAGCTGCAGATGGTCTCCATGTTTAGGTGTTGTGGTTGCAAAGGGCTCTTCTTCTGATTTTCAAGTTTCTAATTCTTATTTCTAAGGAAAAAAAGTTTTCCCCACTCCCTACCTGCTAATGCTTATTTTAAGAGAGAAGTGTTGGGTAGTAGTCCTAAGCCATGTCTCTAACTCTATTTTTCATGTACTTATTTCTCAGTACCAGGTATAGCAGTAAGAGAATTAAAAATTAAGTTTCTTAGTATGAGTCTTGTGCTTCAGTGTGTTCCTCACCTGCAGAACACTCAGCTCTCTGCTGACCAATCCAAGAAAATTATTGGGAAGGTCAAGTGACAGATTTCCTGCAGTTTCCTGTGGATACTCAGGCCATTACTTAATGTTTCCTGCACTGTAAAGTGGGAATCAGACTTACTGATGATGTGTTTAAATAATGCATCTGTGACTGGCTTATGAAAGAATTGTCATTAACTTGATGCTGAGATGACAAAAACTAGGGTGAGGTCTTAGCCCTTCATAGTGCTTTTAAATGAACTTGAACCAAAAATGATTTTTTAAAAGCGTGCCCTAAGAGCTTGTGTTTATTCAAAGCAGAGAGCATAAAATTGTGATCTGCCAGAGATATGCCACCTCTCTACCCTAGAGCAAATCAGCTATAAGTCTTCCTTCACAAATATTTGTTTGACTTTTATTTTACTTTATTTTAAGGAACTTTTTCTTGTTAAGATTTTGAAATTTATGTCTGAGAATTAAAATTTCCCTATGCTTCTGGCCTTTCCCTTTCCTATTCCTCTACTCATCAATGATTGCAGGTTCTAAAACCTCTGATTTTGATTATTTTTTTGTCTTCCTTTGAATTTCTCTAGCTTCTCTTAATTTGTGTAGAGTGAACTACAAGCTGTTTCCTGACTGAATTTCAATACATTGTATACATCTTAACAAATCCAGTCATGAAAAGGAGAAAATGTTCCTGGAAATTTTGTATTTCTTGGTGAATTATGTTTCATGTAGTTAGGACTTTGCTGTCCTTTTCCTTGGCATTTTTTGATGAGTGATTTAATTCATTATGTTTCATGTAGTTAGGACATTGCTGTCCTTTTCCTTGGCATTTTTTGATGATAATTTAATGTTTTGAGAGCTGGTATTTGTATGCAGATAGAGGCTGATATAGCACCACTGTGGTTTTGGTTGGGGTTGTTTTGTTCTTGTTGTTGGTTGATTGGGTTTTTTTTACTTAAAAATTGCAGAGAGAAAACCCCAATAACATAAACATCTAAAAGCCTTTCTCTGAAAGAAAATCCAAATTATGTTTGTCTTTGGGAATCATTATTTCATTTTTGCCTTTTAAGCATTCCAAACACTCTTCATGTCTTTGTTTTAAAGGAGAAATTTTAAATTAATAGTGTTTGGAAACTAGTTTAGTGTAATTTTTATGTATTGTGTAGATTTCTCCTGTCTGATTTTTGGGGCAGTGCACAGGGTTGGATGTTGTTTGAATGTAAATTCATCTCTATCTCCTGCACCTTCCTCCTTCTCCTAGGTCGTTAAAAAAAGAGCTTTTAGGACTGTTCACTGTGTGCATGTTTCCCTCTACTTCTGGTTTGAGTTTTGATTCTCTGCTTCCCAAAGTAAATTTGGTCAATTGCTTTGGCTTTATCCCATCACTACCCTGCCCACCAGAACAAGCTTGTGAGCAGAACTGAGACACACATGTCTAAAAAGCCACCTGATTTCTTTTTTTTTCGTTTTCTCAGTAAAATCTATAAGATGATGGTACCCCACAGTGTAATATTAAAAATGCCAGTTGTAATGCCTGTAATAGAGTGCCTGAATATTATCAGTCTGAAGCCTGATACTGGTAACAAGGCAAAGCAGAGTGAAAACCAGAACTTTTAAAGAGTTTGGATTTTTTAAAAATGTTCTTCTGTAGGTACTAACAGCCTCTCCACAGCCTGTCAGAGATGTCAAGTGCATGCCTTTGGTTTTCCTCAGCAGCTACACAGATCTCATCTCTGGAAAAGGTTATAGTTCTCTATTTCCCCACAATCTGGTACAAAAATGCTCACAGGTGTGGTACAGTAGGAGCAATTGTAGCCTGGTCCAGTAATACACCACTGAAGCCTATCAGTCCTGAATGTCATCTAAAATCTTGACTGTCTTTGTGTGCAGGTGCAACCTTCCTCCTCTGTCCAGTGAATACAGCAAGGACGTTGGATCCAAAACCCAACTGGTGACTGCAAATCCCAGTATAATTCAAAAAAGGTAGAGAGCAGATTTTTTTTTTTTTCTGGTTGGGGGTAGACAAAAAGAAAAGTGCTTCATCAGTGTTATAGAAATTGGTGCATCAGAGTTGTGTTCCTGATAATCTGATCCTGGAAGGGGATCTGGAAAAGGTGCAGTAGGCAATGGTTTGGTGTTAGGTAAAATAATTGAAGGCTAAGCCTCTGATGCTTTCAGTGTAGGCAGGGAGCTAAGGGAGGGGTGTGCTGGTGGGTGCCCCAAGCTGCTCTGCTGGCCAGGCCAGCTGGCTGCTGCATCCCACAGTTCATGAGGGTGCTGATTTGGGCTGCTCTTTGTTTCAGCACACAGAACCTCTGAGTCTCACTGCCTTTGCATTATGTTTGATACTGACTTACAGAGTATAAAAGAGGTTAGGGCAGAACTGCTTGGCAGGGTGTGATCATACAAGCTTTGCTTTCATAGGGAACTGGGACAAATTTGCGTTGTTTATTAGAGTTGGTTGAAATTTTCCAAATGTCAGTTGCTGATGAGAGTGGGGAAGAGGGAGTGGGGAAAAAAATGTCAGTGCTATCTCTGAGTTTGTCTTCCTGAATTTTAATTGCCATGTTCTTTGTTTATCCTCTGGAATGAGGTAGGTTGTTCTCAGGCAGAACAAGATCTGGTAGTAACCTGCCATGTTCACTGAAAAACACAAGAGGAAAAAATATGAACCAAGGGGATGAGCAGGAAATGACTAGGCATAAAGAAATGTATAATGTGAGTACTGGCAGGTGAAGGCTTGTGAAAGGAAGCAAAGCAGGGAAAATAAATGCATGGTAGAAAGCCAGGTGTTTTATAAAGAAAGGCACTGGCTTGGAAATGGATGTTTGATGGTATTTAAATGTGATATTTTTCCTCTCTTTGAGGCATTGAAGGGTTCTGTAGTTTAGTGTGTGGCAGAGATGACAGTCTTTGACAGAGTAGAACAGAGAGGACAAGCAAGAGGGAAATGGAATAATAATAATAACAATGAGCCTCAAGAGCTGATTACAGGCAGAGAGTGCTTGAGTAGGGGCAGGCACAGAAATGCTTGTGGGATGAGATCAAACCAAACCAAGCAGAACTGGCAGGGGATGGCACCAGGTGCCAGGCAAAACCAGGGAGTAACCCAGGGCAGTGGATCTGCAGACAGGGAGTCTGAAAATGCTGTGCTATGTAGATGGCTAATTGATTTAAGAAGTGGAATGGAATGGCCAGAGCATCCCATCAAGGGAAGATCAGTTTGGGTGTGACATTTGGGATGAAATGACGAGGAGCAATGTGAAACACCACCTTTCAGAGGGTTTTGCAGTTTGCAAGACAGAGGATTATTTAACTCAGGCATGTTTGTTTTGCACCCTCCCCTCTATCAAGGCCTGGAGTAGAAAGCTGACTGTAGCTACTATTTTTGAACAGAAAAGGGAAAGAGTTTTAGTGATGCTTGGAAGAGACTGTGGAGCCACACTGGAGAGTCCATGGAGTGTTCCAGAAAGAGGGGAGGGATGGAATGAGGAGATGGTCAAAGAAGCAGATGGAGAGAGCAAGGTGCTACTTTGTGAGGGGTGGATATCTCAAGGAGGAGTGGAGGGGGGTGGGAAATGGGGAAAAAGAGAGAAAGGAAACAAGATGGTGATTAATGTCAGGTGAAAGTGAGTGGACAGTTCCTGTGATGCGAGACCTTGGATGAGAGTATTGTGGAATGTATGTGCATGTGTATTGATTTGGGAGGGATACACAGCCAGTAACTGAGAATGACACAGGGAACAAATTCACAGCACTGAAAATTGGCAGAAGCCTCCTTTGAGGCTTTGCTTCCTCTGCCTGGTCAGGAAGAAACATTTTAATTTTTTTAAAAAAAATAATTGACTGATGTTTCCTGTGTGCTGCCCAAAGTAATTGTTTTATCTCCTGTGTGTTATGTTAGAGTGGGGAAATAAAGGTTATATCATGGAAGTTAAAATAGAAAAGAAAAATACTACAATTCTGTCATCACTTCTATGGAAAGAAGTTTTTTTAGGAATTAAGGTTACTTACACTTTTGATGCAATTCAAAGACTTTCATATTTGTGACTGATGTATCTGTTTCTAAGCTGTGAGTTATCTAGCATCACATAATGGGATTATTCATTGCCATTCTTCCCCTCTCCTCTTGTCCTTACTTGAAGTATGTTGATGTTGATGAGACTTGACATCTCAATTATCTCTCAAGTGTCTTATGGCGGGTTTAGTGAATTGGTGCTGCAATGCCATTAATGGTTTCTAAAAGGTTTACCCTTACCAGATAATTTATGGGGATGTTGATGTAGGGCAAAGTTTTCATACCAGGGATGTGAAAGCAATTTTCTGTGTGGTTCTAAAACCAGAATCAGTGCCTTTAAAAAACAGAATTGTTGGCAGTAGTTATTGCAGAGATACCATTTCCCTCTCTATTTAGCACCTTATTATGGAAGAGTCACAATTTAAATCTAGGAATACCTTGACTTTGAAGATAACTTCTAAACATTGCTGTTGCAGAACTTAGAGATCAAGTTCCTTCTCTGTTTTCAGCAGGAAATGAGGCTCTGCAGGTGGTGTAGGCACAGAGTCAGTGGTGCTTGGGGTGGGGCTGTGGCTCATCCCTGAGTGGCTGCAGCTGTGCAGCACAGGTGAGCAGCATTGCAGGGAACGAGCCATGGAGTGCCCAGGGGCACTGACCAACCACAGAGGGCACACAGGTGCAGGGCATTGACTTGGGGGTATAAAAGGCTGGGCTGAAGGACAGCACAGATCTGGTGCCTGAAGCCTTCTCGAGTGTTGGTTGTGGCTCCACCATTGTTCTGACAGGCAGTACAGTTTTCACTTGTGAAATATTTTGCTCTGTTCTCATTTGGGTTTGAATGTCCTACTCATTTGGGTTTTGGGAATGTCCTTCCCTAACTTGAATTAGTGTAATACAGGAGAACTGACAACAGATGTACTGTGGTAGAAATTTTCCAGAGTAAGAGGATGTGTGTTGACTGTCCCAGTTTCTTTTTTTGTCTAAAACTTTTCACAGTTGTCTCTCTTCAGTTAATATTGGAACTCACAGTCCTTCACTCCTGTGTGAAACTCCTTTTTCCACTTTGCATTCAAAGCATAACTTTTCTGTCAAAGCCTGTGTCAAGGTTGCAGTTGAGATTGAAATGTTGCATAAAGGTGCTCCTGGAGCCAAGGTGACCTCTCCCACCCTCTAGCCCTGAGTATTGTTGTGGGACTGCAATCCCCCATCTTTGATGTTTCCAGTTCATTCCCCTACCATCCTACTCAGTTTGGCTTCATCTGCAGGGAACTGCTTTGTAGGCAGAGGATTATTTTGTATTTGTCCTGGATTTTATTTTCTTTCCAAGCCTAGCTGCTGTAAGTCCTTCCTAGCAAAGAGGCAGTGCAGTAGCAGTACCTGTGATGTGCCTACAGCCATTCTTAGGACTCTGGGAAAAATCAGCAAGGTTATGTCACTTACAGAGGTGGTTTCCATATTCTGAACCCTTGTCTACAGCTATGGAGAGGGACAAGTCCGTGATCATAAAAATGCTTAAGAGGCAGTGCTGATTTTTGACCAATGGCATAAGATTTTTAACTAGGAAATACAAAGTTTTTGGATGTGGATTATTACCCATTTCTAAAATCACTGGATCTGGGCTGTTTAGGAGAAGCCAATTTTATGAATTTCTTATCTCCAGCAACTTTTGCAAATGTCATACAATAATAATTTGTCTGAGCTTCTAATTAAATCTGCAGTCAGATGCTGTTTGCAGCACGGTTCCTTTCTAGTTCCATGTCGGTTTATCTAACCTAGGCACACTTATATCATCAATTACATGGATATAATACTCCAAATAGATGTTTCCCAGCATACAGGGAGTTTTAGACCAGCTGATGTTTTCTGGGGAGTATTTTATCCATGAGCTGTGTGTCCATGGCCTGTGTGGAAGTATGAACTTCCATCACTGAATGGGAACATTTTCCTTTGAGTGAATTAATTCACCTTTCAGTAAAATAATTTTGAGCTGTGGTATTTGAAAACTTTTTGCTGTATCCAGTGTTTTGCACTAAACCTCGATGAAGGAATGAGACTGAAAACTAACAAATGCAATGATTCTGCCTCTCAGCTTGGAAATGCCAGTTAAATATCACTGCTGTTTATTAGGTTCCCATGGATTTTGAGTGGGCTTAAATTTGCTTTCCAGTGTCCCCTACATTTTAGAGGCAGCTAATAATCTTTCCTGGATTCAGTCCTGAAGACATTTCTGAATCCAGCTGATGTAGACTATTAGGAATAAAAAGCTGGAATTGAAGCAAAAATTTAATTTGATAAAAGCTTCCTTCATTTTTGATCAAACGAATGTACAGTTTTATGCCTGTTGCTTAAATGTTTCATGACAATTCCTCTTCAGCATGTCTCCATGTAAAAACAACCTATTCTGCTCCTAGGTAGTTACATTCTTTTTTGATAATTGCAAAAGATCAGAAAAAAAGAAAGGTAGAAACCACCCATAAAATATGTTCTTGAAGGAAATCCCTTTGTGCTTATTTTGTGCTTTCTATACAAGTCAAGTGATGGGAAGATCTTTCCCTGTGAAGTCAGTTAGTCACCAGATTTTTAAACACTTCATATTGAGGTCCTTTTTTCCATTCCTGGTATCTAAATATATCTCAGATTACTTAGTTGATAAGAAGTCCAAAGTGATAAGAACAATTATTTTAATTCATATTCCATGTTCTTCTACAAAAGTCTCTGAACATCTGTGCCAACAGCAAGGGGATGATATTTCTGGGAAGTACTTCTTAAGAGGCAAGACTGTGATGAACTCTTCTGTATTTGGAGGTTGCTTGAAGCCCCATTTCTTGGTAATCAATTTTTTCCCTCCTCTAATACGAAGTTTGTTTAAAAACATTTACATTTATAAATTTTGCCTTACTTTCTCTTTGTGTGGGGCATCTATTTTTGTCCTTGTTTGAACAGAAAAGGAAGCAAAACTCTGGGG